CTCATAACATCCTGTTGTATACTTTAAATATAAACAATAAAATTTATTTTAAAAATAAAGGAAGAGATAACTTTAGCAAACATTTAGCTAACATATTATATGCAGGGTTTCTGCTGAATGATATTATAGCTATTCTTGCCGAGGGGAGGGAGATGAATAACTGGTAACTGTGTGAGATAAAGGATGTGTTAGTGTCTCACTAACATAACCGTTTTACCATATATGTGTCTCATAACATCCTGTTGTATACTTTAAATATAAACAATAAAATTTATTTTAAAAATAAAGGAAGAGATAACTTTAGCAAACATTTAGCTAACATAAATATTATTATACGATTAAATATTACATCAGTTCTTTCCCTCCCAGATACTAAAACAAAGAGACTGAAGCAATGGTATGAAAGGCAGAAGCCCAGTTTACTATCAGAAACAATGTACTCATCAATTCTAAAAGGAATATATTGCATGACCCTTGTATTAGAAATGCTGATCATCTCCAGGAACAAGAATAGCACACGATTTTGCTGAATATTCAGAAGTGGTTTGGGGGAAGTCATGTTTCCAATCAACCCCGTTAAAGGTCCAAATCACACTAAACCCCAAACAAAAGCCCTTCTCCAAGAAGTCAAGATGGTGGTGACGCCTACAGAATAACTAAGGGCAGTACAGAATAAATATCAAGGCAAAAGACCCTGAACTGGTCCAGTGCATGACTCCTGAGTAGAGGCCTAGGTTGACTCCTAGTAAATAGTTCTCCTGAACCATGGAAGAAGATGCTACAGCAAGGTTCCCAGATCCCACAGCCTACACCTTAGTCCTGTGCCCAAGCACCTGGCAGGTTGAAGGCTGCCAAGCTGCCTGTCCTTCTGTCAGTTCTGATTCTTGGTGATTTAACAAACTCAGTTATGAAAGGCAGGGGAAGGAAAAGTAGAGATACAAGGCAGAAAACAAAAGATGCCATCTCATTGGATGCCTTCCTTAGATGCAGTGGCAACTAGAATCTTGATTAGGGGATACCTGGAGTCTAAAGAGTACCACAGTCCCTAGAAAGCAGCAAGGAATTTGTACAATTGCCTGCACAAGTATTCAGAACACTAATACCACATAGAACAGAAGGAAAACATCTAGCCTGAGACAGCCTCTTCAATTATCAAAGACCTTCACTGGCTTCAACTGAACACCTATGTTTGAAAAGCAATGATATGATGTACAATGTTTATTTAAAGATTTATATTCTCAAACTACGCTTCTGTAATACATAACACTGTATACAGCATTCTAATGACAAGACATGCTACAAAATGCCATGCATCCTAAGTCATATATAAATGAAAATTTTTATTTAACAAACAAGACATGTTACGAAATACTATGTATTCTGAGCCATCCATAAATGAAAAATTTTATTTAACTTATTTTAATTTTTAATGTTAAAGATTTATTTGTACCTAATTTTTTAAATTATTAATCTACATATTAAATGGCAACCGCAAAATATTTGTTCACTTCTTAACTCTCATGGCTTCTGAAGCATAAAATATTTTTCAAGGTTGAAATGAATTAATATTCCCAAAATTACTAAAGGGAGCCTTTACTATATATTAAAGTACTTCTGCATTGATTATCTCATTTATAGTGTAAAATTCAAACCCAAGATATTTCAAAACTCCTAAAAAGTCTTAATAACACAATCAAATTTAAAACAAAATGACAGGTAATACCATTTTTCCTAATCTTAAATAAAGCGTATTTCTTAAAATTTTTACAAAATTTCCAGTTTACTAAATTGATCTGGAGAGTAATATCTTAGAATTTAAAGCCCCAAATTAAATACTTTTTAAGAAGAATTATAATATACCTTATTGTACTATAGGATAATAGATAGTAATTTAAAATACTATACCATACTATAATTTGACATTGTCATAAAGCACCATCTACTGGCAAGGTAAAATACTGCAACTAAACTCTATTAGACATTAGACATACCCAACTACAAAAACAGTCAAAATTGAAACCAATAAAAGCTGTGTATGGATTCAAAAAAGCTGAATAGTGAAGGGCAATGCTGTAATGGAAGAAAGACTACATTGCACTAATAAAATAAGTTATTAACATTCTGCCAAGACAACTCATAAGCTATAGCTCCTGTATTCCACCAGTGACAAAAGGATTACTGTCTATCAAGATATCCGTTTCAGGAGGAAAAAGTTCTTATATCATGAATAAAATAAATAGAAAAGAGACCATTATTCAAAATATGCTCCGCAGCCAACTTTGCTGAAACACTCTATTTGGTAAAACATATTAAATATCAATCTCTAAAATTTAAATATGTCAGAGAAACAAATCACAGAATTAAAAACATAAGAGGATATTTACAAAATAATCTCTTTCAGTGAACTTAATCTTTTTGTCTCATACTAGTATTCTGCTTCAGAAGCCATAAAGATGATAGGGTAGGAGAAAGAAAGGCCTATGAGAATTATCCTCTGGATTGGCATTCTGTGCAAAACAGCTTTTAAATGCAATCTCAATGCTCACTTTGGTAGCATATATGCTAAAATCAAAGTGATAAAGAGAAGATTAGCATGGACCCTGCACGAGGATGGCACAAAAGTTTGTGAAACATTTAATATTTTTAAACAATCTCATCTTCTGAGCCCACGAGTAGGAGGTTGTTGTGAGCTATAATGCCACGGCACTCTACCAAGGGCAACAAAATGAGACTGTACGTCTAAAAAAAAAAAGCAATCTTTTTGGCTAACATCAAATATAAACAATTTGATAAAATTATCACTTAGAAACTGAAGGGAGAAAAAAGTAGTTCACAGCACTCAGAGAAAAAACAAACAACATGACACCAATCAGTTCAATATCTTGTTTCATAAATGAGAAAACAAAGGCCCATATTACGTGAAGGGTTAGTGACAGATAAAAAAGAGGCCCCTGCTCCCATTTCTTCTCCCTAAAAATCAAAATCTCTCAATAAATAGGATATAACACAATAATCTCAAAATCATTCAACAGGATAGAACACAATAATTTCAAAATCACTCAACAAACAGGATATAACACAATCATTTAATTATCTTGTATGTTAAAAGTTAAATCTGGAGCACACGGCAGTATCAACTGGATTAAAAAAAAATCATATGGTCTGTCTAACAAGGGTACAAGTGAACTTTTCTAGAACTAGAGTATAAATGTTTTAACACAATAACTAAGTAAATAAGTAAATGACATATGTTAACCAGTTTGATGAAAGTATTTCAAATTGTATATGAAAACACTACACTGTACCCCATGTTTGCATTAATGTATACAGCTATCATTTAATAAAAAAGAAAAAAAACATATGAATTTTAAGTCTTGTCGAATCAGTTAAGAATGCAGCTACATTCTTCAGGCATAAGCAAAGAGATAAAATTTGTAGAACAAAATAACACAAGGAAAATTTTGCTTTCACTAATGACTAACACCATCTCCATTCTCCTTTGGCATAAAATCACTGAAATAAGATATTTCAGGCTCCTAGATATTTAAAAAATTACATAAGAAATTTTTTTTAAAAATCATGTATCTTTGTTAAAATAATAAATACAATAGGAATATTTGCACCCAGTCATGATGCAAACAAAAATTTAAATTCTATTTTAATTCTAATTTATCATAAATTCAATTAATTAATTGCTAATGTTGTTATAGTTAATAGTTGCCATTTATTTTTCGGATCAATTTTTTTCACATCAAAATAATAACTTAGCAACACATATTTATTACAAAATGTTTGTTTTTTTCCTAGTATAATCATTTTATATGTTATTAATTTCATCATGTTTCTGCTAATAACAGATTGGGGTATACAAATCTATGAGTGCATGCTTAACCACATTAATGGTAAAAAAATGGCAACAAATAAAATCAAGTCCACTGAACATTATATTGGCAACATATATTATTATTAATTATATCACAGTATTATATTATTTAATGTAAAAATACCTCAGTTGTCTTTGTTGTTCTAGACTAAACCATAATATACAGTCATTTTAGTAACCAAATGCCACAACCCAACACATGTATAAATTAATAAAAATATATAGTTTCCTTATAGATTTATATTTTCTAAACAAATAGCAACTCATAAAGCTTGAAACCAAGGTAGGGTATTATAAATGAAGAACTCAACTAAACGTGATACTTCACATTGAAGAAATATTTCTACTAACTCTGAATAACAATAAACAATTAAAACTATCCTTTACTTTTCTGCATGCTAGTCTTGCATTCTACAATATATTAGTACTTCAGTTAATGACATGGCTCCGTCTTAACAATAGAAAAAAAAATCAACTAAAAACTTACATGGCAGAAACTATAAATGACCAAAAGATCGCATACTGTGATGACAGTTAATGTTTAACTTACTGACCTTTCTATGCTCCTGTAGGCTGGATGCTGATGAACACTTTTTATTGCATACTGAACATATGAGCTTTTTCTTAGGATCTCCTAAAATAGAAATAAAATGCCATCATGATTTAAAGGAGACAATTAAGAGGAGAAACAGATAGTTTATCTAGGTGATACGTAATTTAATCTTCACAATTTAGAATTCTAAACTATTCAGTGTTGTAGACAAATACATTAAATTCAAGAGTAAGTTGTATTTTAAATCTGAAAAATCTTTGATTTCATATATTAATTTCTATACATGTAAAATAGGCCATTCACTTCTCCAGGTACTTATTACTATATAGTATTAAAAGACAAAAGCATGTATCCACAAAGAATTCAAATCAAAATTAATTGAATGTGTTTATTTTTTAAAAAGTGGAGGCCAGTCAGTGACTCACGCCTGGGAGGTCGAGGCAGGGGGATTGCCTGAGCTCACAGGTTTGAGGCCAGCATGAGCCAGAGCAAGACCTCCTCTCTAAAAAAAAAAAAGTTATAACCAGGCATTGTGGCCGGCGCCTGTCGTCCCAGCTACTTGGGAGGCTGAGGCAAGAGAATTCCTTGAGCCCGAGCATTTGAGGTTGCTGTGAGCTGTGATGCGATGGTACTCTACCAAGGGAACAAAGTGAGACTCTGACTCAAAAATAAAGAAATAAATAAAATAAAAACTAAAAAAACTGGGACTTTATCAATTCATAAATTGATTTTTCTACTTTCTTTACATATCAATCAATAGAATATTTTATTTAATTAGCTAGGCTTTTCTTTTAAAAAATGATATTTTTCATAGTTTTTTTTCTTTTCAGTACTAGACTCTTATAAAATCTATGAGAATATTATCAAATTAATATTAAGAAATAAAATATAATAAAACATTATGTTGGCAATTCATATAATTAGACAAAACAAAGCCTAATTTTTGTCTTCTTACACAGTGATTATGTTTATAGTAGCTCATTTCACATTTTACAGTGGTTACAGAAAAAGTGAAATATTTTTTAAAAGTAATGTAATAATAGTACCACCTGTACCACAATAATATCCACAAAATAGTTTATCAACTTTCCATTGGCTGATTTCAAATATACAAAAAATAAGTCCATAGTACAATGAACCGCCACATCTCTAGTACCCAGCCCAACAATGATGAATCCACAGCCACTGCTGTCCCTTACCTCAACCCCATGCACTCCCCCAGTCCCCTATTACCTTGAAGCAAATTCAAAACAAGTAAAACCAATATTACAAGTGGTGTGATTTTATTACAGGACTATGATTATGAAAGAGAAGCCTGCTTTTAGAAAATATAAAGTTTTGTGTTGTTATCAAGGTACCTACTTCATTTAATATCCTGTTATTACAGTACACTAAATATTATAACCAAAATTGTTTTCTTAGTGATTGACAAGTAATATGGCTATTAAAGGAGAAAATTCTCCCAGGCAAAATTAATATCTGATAGCATGTATTTTGGTTATCAATTCCCTAAACATATCTATATACAGGAGAGGCCACTGGACAAAGAATATTCCCTCCCTTCCAGCTCCCTCTAGTTGGAATTGTCCATCTTCCAGCCCTAATCCTTTCTCACCCCATCCCATCCCTCAGAGCAGCTGCTCCTTGAGACAAGGTTCTATCCTTTCCCACTAGGAAGTCAGAGGAGGAGGGGGAAGAAAGAGCAGTAGATTTCTCCAACCAGCCCTCTCACTTGACCTCCTGTGCTCCCACCACACGGCTCCTCCTGTCCTTCAGATTCAAAGGTAAGACATCAAACCCCATCCCCACCCTTTAGCATTCCCTTTTCTCCTCGTATCTCCTCTTATTCGTCATCCTAGAACTGAAGTCCTAGTTCCTGTGGGAAAAAATACAGGAAAAGTGTATACTCTTCATCAGCGAATGGAGACAGATATTATCTCCCATAAATACAAAATCTCTCTGAATCTAAGCAAAAGAGAAAGATGGAAAGTGGGTTGAGGAACTCAGCCCTTTTACTCTGTGTGTACTGGGCAACTATGAAGATTCTCATCACCCTGCTAGCTGCCACTGGTTCAAGAACATCATCATCTATAAAGCCTCTTGGAGCCAGTTCAGATTCAACTTACAGAGGATTCGATAAGATATTAGAGTAGTTGATGACGGTGAAAGAAATCAATACAACTGTACTGAACACACAGTCACTTAAGTACTCAGGTTTCAACACATGGGAAGTTAAGTGAGCTTTTAGAAACTGGTCTGAAAACCTATTATGGTTTCCATGGCAAAACATGATCCATATTTTCAAAATCAGCTTCACTCCTCTCGGTGCCTTCAATTCGTATCACCTAACAGGGAACATTTGCCATCCTAAGTGGAAGCTGCAAGGCCTTCTCATTCCGTGAACACCTTTGCCTTTCTGTAGTAACACCTGCTATAACCATACTTGATGAGTATGCTCCTCTTGCTATTCCCAATAGAGAATATTCTTTCCCAAAATGCCTGTGTAGCTCATGGCAGAAAGGGGAGAAGCAGCAGAGAAACTATGAAAGAGAGAATGAAATTACGTACCAACCCCAGCAAAAGATAAGGCATAGCGACCTTTAGCTAAAATACAGCAAGATTTCACAATCTGTATGATGCACAACATAGAAAAAATAAGAAAACAAAATTTCCTTTTATGAATTATTTCCTACAAGATCACCATGAATTTCCAGAATAAATAATATTATAATATCCAAGCCAATTGTAAGAAGTCTCAAAGAAATTTTACTTATAGCACAGCCTGAAGACCATCTGCTTAGTAACAAAAATCCAAGTTTCCAGAGTTTCAGCATGCATCTGGTTTTTTACTTAATTCAGAAAAGTTAACTTTAAAACTGACATGAAAGTTCTGTTACAATATATTGCAAACATAGATGAATCAAATTAAGAGCAGCATTTTAACTAGAACAGAATTTAAAAAAAAAAAAAAAAAAAACGATGACAAGTCTATCAAAAAGTTACGCTTGCCTTTTGCAACCAGAAGGAAGGCCTTAGGATACCAAATTCAGAAAAATACCACTTCCCCAAATCAGCCGTATATTCTCCAAAAGGAAAGAAAGAAACCAGAACACTGTAGCGTCCCAATAACGGGCACCACCCTGAAGGTGTATTTCTCAAGGCCCTCCCTTTAGCCACCCAAAGCTGTCATGCAAAGCTCCCACTTAACGTGTTGCCAAAACCAAAGATGCACAGTGGGAGCCAGCACTCATATTCACACTGGCCTCTATAACTTTATTATTAAAGTAGATACTCTTTGGAGAGTATACAAACAGAGGATACAAACGCTAGGTACAGACTGTCCTTTCCACCTAAATATGAGAATAAACAAGAAGGGAGGAAAGAAATCCACTTTCCTCCATGTCCAGAGACATAGTTCTATCCACATCCCAGAAGCCAAGGACAAAAGCAAACACATGAGAAAAGCATACACACAGACGAATACGAGGAAGTAAAGAGACACTGAGGAAATAACAAGTTCACTGTGACGATGTCGCTCTCCATTCAACTCGGTGCAACAGATCCGATTCCTCCACTGAAATACATTTACTGATGGCCTACTATGTGCTAAGCAGATAAAATCTAAGTGACATACACATTTTATATATTCGTTTTACTGTTTAGCTAGCCATTAAAAGGAATTCGAATAGTATTTATTATTAATTTATATGTATTCAGTTTCTGTGTCAAAACGTAGTTAGGGATTTTCTTTGATGTAGAACTCTAAGCATTAACAAAACTCAGATGTTATTGTTAGGCAGAAGGGGATCACTTGATAGTTTCAAAATATATCTACCATCATCAATTGTTAACGATTTATAAAATAAGTTTCATATGCTAAAAATTAAAATTGCTATGTTTTATTATTAATAACAGAAATATTAGTTGTTAATGCATCTGACCAAGCATAACTAGACTCTAGATAAAGTTTAGAGTTATGAATAATTCAGAGATGGGAAAAATGACAAAAGCTGCTGAAATCAACTGAAAAAAGAAATAGTGTTCTGTGAAGAAAAAAAAAAGGAAAAAACCACTGCCAGAGCTGCACATCTGTGTGAAACACAATGAAAAAGCCAGCTCACTCCTTGAGCGTGAGAATTAAAAACAGATCACTGCAGCCTGGGGAAAGGAAGCCCCTTGAAAAATGATGCTCCAATGAGTCCTCACCAGTGTGGACATTTTCCTGGTGTCTTTTCAGGGCATCCTTGCTCTTCAGCCTCTTTCCACAGCTGTTGGCCTTACACACGAACCTGGCATCCCCCCGGCAAGTCTCCTGATGCTGCTCAAAACTACAAGACAACCAGCAAAAGGGAATAGGGAGAAGAAATGGTGAAGACACGCCTACAAAATGCAAACATCACCGCAAGCTTCTGTAATATATGCTCCCTAGTAGAGTGTAGGGGTCATTTCATGCATTACCTCTGCAGGTAAGAAGAGAGCATTTAAATTCTGTGGCTGTATGATACTTAATTCCTAAGAAGCATGAAAGCAAGCATGCAGAAAATGACCCACAACTACGTAACAGTCAGCTGATAACTCAGACACAAAACCTCAATGCTGAACTGAAGGAAGAATTGCAAACAGAGCACTGAAAACTTCGTGAAGAATCCTTCAGACTGCTTTTCACTGCACACTGAAGAACACTAAGGGGAAACAGGAGAAAAAGAGAGAGAGAGAGAAACAAAAACTGGAAATCTAAGACATAAATGCATGAGAATATGCCAACTCTGAATACAGTCACATTCATGATCCCTCTTTTCACTCTTTTTTGCCTTTAAATTTTTTTTATTATAGGAGTACCTTAACTATAAGCCCAAGCTTAACAAGGCACCTTTTGTATAAATACATAACACCAAGTGCAATAACAGCTGACTAGAATACAGTTTTAAAGACTACCTAAAAGTGTAGAGCTCTTGTTTTTTTTAAGAACCTGTAATGGAATCACTATGTAATCTCTTACTATTATAAAAGTTTTGATGTTTGAAACATTCATTAAGCTTAAGTTTTAAGTAGAAATTTTTCCTCTCAAAGGTTTTTTTTTTCACTTTTTTTTTTTTT